CAAGTGACGGGAATGCTTTCTCACCAAACCGGAGAGACAGATAGCTCCCAAAACCCAACACAGGGATTGACAACTAACTGTCCTAATCTGCTTCCTCCTCTGAACCCACAGATGAACTCAGGTAACTCCTTAAACCCTGTCAATTCAGTTTTTGTTACTGATGAGTGCTTTGTGTCTCTTGTTCCAAATTCCCTTCCCATCCTAGAGTCGGAGGCCCATATACAAGTTGCCATAATGAGTTTACTGGAGAAGAAGAAAGGGGAGGCATTAGAAAAGGAAATGTGCAGGAACAAAAAGATTTGGGAAATCATTGAAAGAATAATGGGTGAATTTGAAAAGAATGAACTGCAGAGGGAGGATATGGATAAAAAGGAAGAGGAAAGCAGCAGAGAGAGAGGGCAAAGGATTGAGGAGATGAATAGGAGAGGAGATCCTGGAAAAATGGAGAAAGGGGACAATAGTGAAAAAGACTCTGTAGCAGAATTTGTAAGCAGGTTCGGGTGTACACTGAAGGACCCAAATGATTTAAAAGTCTTTTTACAAAAAAAGGAGGAAAATAAGACAAGAAAGAGGAAATTGAGTGAAGTTGAGAGATTGAAAAGGGATGTTGAGGGGGATAAGAAGTTTGGGGTGAAGGGGGATAGGAGAAAAAGGGTCAAATAAGCTTCAGCTGTAGTAAGGGTCGAGTGTTTTGGTTGAAATGAGAATTTTGAGCTGGAATGTAAGGGGGCTGGGGAATGCAAGGAAAAAAGCAACGATCAGAGAAGTGATTAAAAAGTTTAACCCARATGTAGTGTTATTTCAGGAGTCTAAAAGAATGGATTTTGACAGTAGATGGGCAAGGAGTGTATGGAGGTCTAGGGCGATTAAGTAGGCAACAACTCCTTCTTGGGGATCCTCAAGAGGGATAGTAACATTATGGAAGGAAGATGTGATGGTAGGATTGGAGGAATTAATAGGCGACCACTCAACTTCATTGAAATTTAGGTAGGTGGAAGATGGATTTGAATGGGTCCTAACAAATGTTTACGGCCCCAATGATTACAGGTAGAGGAATATGTTGTGGGGAGAGCTGAGTGATATAAGGGGCTTGTGGGAAGGACCTTGGTGTGTGGGAGGGGATTTCAATGTAGTCAGGTTCACAAAGGAAACCAACAACCCTAGATAGAGAGTGACTACAAGTATAAGAAATTTCAACTTCTTTGTGAATGCCTTTGGGCTTAAAGAAACCCCACTAGCGAACAATAGGTTCACTTGGTCCAACTTCCAGTCAAGCCCGATTTGCTCTAAACTTGACAGGTCTTGTTCTTAACAGATTGGGAAGAGAATTGGGGAAATGTAAACTCTAGGGCTTTACCTAGACTTACCTCAAACCATTGGCCCATAGTTTTGTGTAAGGAAGATATTAGAGGTGAGGGTCCTGCCCCATTCAAATTTGAGAATATGTGGTTGCTTCATCCGGGATTCACCAAGAAAGTCAAAGAATGGTGGGTGCTATGCAACCCCACAGTAAATTGGGAAGGTATGAGATTCCACAAGAAGCTCCAATCCTTGAAATCTCAGATAAAGGAATGGAACTTATTGGAGTTTGGAAGATTGGAGGAGAGAAAACAATTTTTGTCTGAGCAAATTGAGGAAATAGACTTGAAAGAAGAAAGGGGAGCTTTTGGAGAGGAAGACAAGGAGGCTAGATGGAGTTTAAGGAAGCAATTGGAGGAGATTCTACACAAAGAAAAAATAAGTTGGAGACAGAAATTTAGGTGCAAGTGGTTAAAGGAGGGAGATAGAAATACTAGATTCTTCCATTTAGTGGCTAATGGTAGAAGGAAAAAGAACTTCATTTCAAATCTAGAAGTGGAAGGAACAGTTATTTCCCAACCAATAGAGATAGCAGGGGCCTTTGTAAATCATTTCAAATCTATCTTTAGAAGCCACTGAATGAGAGGGTTTGGTTAGAGGGACTGGATTGGCCGAATATAGGGGATGAGAATAGGAATTGGTTAGAAAGGATGTTTGAATTGGAAGAAATAAAGGAGGTTGTGCTTTCAATGGATAAAACAAAAGCTCCGGGTCCAGATGGTTTCACGATGGCATTTTATCAGGATTGTTGGGAAATTTTGGAAAGGGATTTAATGTTAGTCTTTGATGAATTCACGATTGAAGCATTATAGACCTGAAGTATTATAGACCGGTAAGCTTGGTGAATAGCTGGACCCGGAGTTTCACGATGGCATTCCACTTTTATTGCTTTGGTCCCAAAGAAGAGAGGGGCTTCACAATTGAAGGATTATAGACCGGTAAGCTTGGTGAACAACTTGTATAAAATAATCACAAAAGTGTTGACTCTCAGGATTAAGAGAGTTCTCCCTACTATTATTGCACCCAACCAAGCAGCTATTGTGAAGAGCAAACATATTTCTGATCAAATCTTGATTGCAAATGAGAGTTTCAAAAAGACCAAGAAGAAGGGAGTGGTGTGTAAACTGGATCTGGAAAAGGCTTATGACTTAGTTGATTGGCCCTTTTTGTTGGAGGTCTTGGCTAACTTTGGGTTTGGGGAAAGATGGTGTAAATGGATACGGGGATGTGTTAGGAATTTCCGCTACTCAATCTTCCTTAATGGAACTGTGGTGGATTTTTTTCCCACTGAGAGGAATTAGACAAGGAGATCCACACTCCCCTTTCTTTTTCACTTTGATTGCAAATGTTTTAGGGAGATTAATACATAGAGCTGATTCGAGGAAATTTGCTAAGAGGGTGGAGAGTTGGAAGGGAGGAGATTCCACTTATGCACCAGGAGTTTGCAGATGATACCATTTTGTTCTGTGAAGGTGGAGACATTAATTGGATTAGGAACATGAAATTGACACTTTGATTAGGTCTACCCTAGCTAATCTACCTGCGTATTTCCTGTTAGTTTTTAAGATTCCCACAAAAGTCTCTAATAATCTGGAAAAAACTAATGAGAGACTTTTTTGTGGGAGCTAGGAGAGGAGAAGAGGAACCATAGGGTGGGGTGGGAGGTGGTAACTAGATGTAAGAAGCTAGGTGGTCTTGGGATTGGGAATATCGGGAAAAGAAATATGGCTTTACTAGGAAAGTGGCTTTGGAGATTTCCGTTGGAAAAGGAAAAATTGTGGACAAAGATAGTGGCTAGCATTCATGGGCTGGAGGACAATGGCTGGGACCCTAGAATTCTAGCAAGGACTACAGGTGCTTCTCCTTGGAAAGCCATCCATGATCTTCTTCCAATCTTCTCCCTGTGGATTAGGTATGATGTGAATTCTAGCAATCTTATAAAGTTTTGGGAGCAAACTTGGGTTGGGGATTCCCCTTTGATGGACCAGTTTCCTTCTTTGTATGCCCTTTCTAACTTGAAGAATGAGCCCATCTCTTCTTTTCTTGTGCCTTCAAAGTCCTCTTMCGGGTTTGGGTGGAATTTGGGCCTGAGAAGGGCCATTAGGGGCACAGACCTTGGGAGTACTTCGAACTTGTTAACCATTCTTGAGAATGTTTCCTTGGACCCCTCTCAGGAAGATATTGGAATTTGGACCCCATCCTCCTCTAGTACTTTCTCTTGTGCTTCCTTCTTTGAGACCTTATCATAGCCTTTTGCTTCTAGTGGTCTGTCTTTCCCTGTTAAAGAGGTTTGGAGCAAGCCCGTTCCTCCTCGGGTTGGTAGTTTTTGTTGGAAAGCATTCTCGGAAAGAATTAATACAAGTGACCTGCTTCAAAGAAAGAGACCCAATTCTTGTTTATCCCCACATAGGTGTATTCTTTGTAAAGTTGAAGGGGGAAACTAGATACCACCTATCGATTTCTTGCTTGTTTGCTAGAACTATTTGGGAATGGGTTTTCTCTCCCCTTTTGGGTGCAGCTGGACCCCTCCCTTGAATGTGCAAAGCCTCTTCTCTCCTTCTTACTTTAGTTGGCCTTTAAAAAGAGGGAGAATTATGTGGAGATGTAAGAGGGCTGCAGTCTGCTGGTCTATCTAGGAAGAAAGAAACTAACGTACTTTCTCAGAAAAGGAGAGAACCATTGGGAATGTAATGGAGTTGACTTAATGAGGAATTGGTTAGAGATAGCTAATTCTGCCCAGGTTAATATGGTCTCTTCTCCCTCTTGGACCTCTCCCCCACATGGATTCATGAAGTTGAATTTTGATGGAAGTAGTTTAAGGAACCCAGGGCTCTCTGGTATAGGGGGAGTGTTTAGGAATGACGAGGGGCTTATTATAGCCATGTTCTCAGGCCCTATTTGAGAAGGAGACTCTCTTAGGGTTGAGATCCTTGCGGCTCTGGAAGGTGCTCAAAGAGCAAGGGAGCTGAACTTAAGAAAAGTGGTTTTTGAAGGTAACTTAGATGTGGTGGTTAGATGGCTAAAGGAAGATAACTCTGGCATCTGGAACTACAGCAATGAAAAGAAAAAATTCAAGTGGCTGACTAGGGACATTGAGGTGAAATTCAGTTGGGTAAAGAGAACTGCTAACTCACTTGCGGATGGGTTAGCCAAGCAAGGGGTGAATAGGGGATCTCTCTTTTGGGCTCATTTCTAATCTTATATTTTTGTTTTTGCTAAAATGGGGGAGTTAAGAAAGTTTACCTCCCCCCTCTTGTAATTAAAGTTCCTTATTATTAATAAATTCTGCCATCTGCCGTTATTGATAAAAAAAAAGGAGAAACTTGTAAAAGGAAAACAGAATGGTAGTTAGCCAAGGCTAGCTACATTATGGGGTGCTTGGCTGAAAGTAGATGTATACCATTTTTTTGTATAGATTCTAATAAAAGTTAATGTGTTACTGATAAAAAAAGTGGGGATGTGACCTTGAATTTGCATACTATAAAACTAATTTTGTATGTCTATAATTTGCATATTATGATGTTATTATTTTAACTACAAAATGAACAATTATCTTGAACCAAAAGTACTTGTCTTTTAGGAATCTAAGTTGAATGCTTCATTAACATATCTTCATTTTCTGCTTTGGTTATATGGACCAGGCAATTGCTAAAGATGCTACTCTATCAAGGTGCAAAATAATTGCAGAACCTTGGGATTGTGGAGGTCTTTATCTTGTTGGAAAATTTCCAAATTGGGATAAGTAATTTACTTTTTCCATATTATTTGTTTTGTTGCATTAAATTATTTCAAGAAGATGGCTTAAATAAACTGACTTTATGTCTTTTGTTTTGAGATTCTAAATTTTGATGCTGCTGGAAATATTACCCTGGTAAATGAATGTATCTTGGCAGTATATTACATTACTCAGAACATAGAAATTCTATGAAAATTAGGAATAATTAGTAAAACATCCATTGCTTGACATGCAGGTGAAGGCAATATTTCCCTTGCATATATGAACATAAATAGCAACCCTGTTGTTAGAAGTTAGAACTTATATATGGAAGAAATAGATAAAAAACAACTCCAAACCATAATAGAATCTGGCATGCTGCTTTCCTTTTTTATTTATATTAAATAGAAGTGCTAAATAATTGCAACCAGCAGTAGTATCTATAAACTACAAAACAAGTTTCAAGAAAATAAAAGTGTTATGATAATCAGTTCAAGAAAACTAGACTATTTTATAATCTGAAAAGGAATGAAAAAATATGAAAGGGGGATCTGATATCATGTTGGAGAGTAGGGCTTGAGTTTGACAAGGATGCAAGAAAGAGATATGCAGTATTATTGGTGTGATGAGGTGATGCCTAGTGATGTTGGCCTCTGTAGTGGATGTTATGACTAGTTGGTGCCAAGGTGCTGACTAGTCACCCAAAAGAAGATATATTTCCGAATTTAAGATATTGATCCTACCTTATAAATAAGTTTAGACTGTATGTATGCAATCAAATAGTAGACAAATTTTTGTTTTCCAAACATAGTATGTTAGGCTGGATAGGTTGGGATAGGAAATTACATCCTTTGTTTTCCAGAAGGATTTTACCCTTGTTCGTGGCAACTTTTTATCATCACCACACAATTGATTGGAATAAAATTTAAAAGAAGTCCACTTTCTTCCTTTATTTTATGCCTCTTTTTGATAATTAACAGTACTAATTCCATTCSTCATCAAGAAAAAATGGTGAGCACAAGAGTCAAACTAATGTACAAAACAACTATAGCCTGACCAGTATTCAGGTATTGGGTATTTTAGTGATTACAATAGTGATCTTCGTCCTGGACGGCCTCAAATGAAATCAGAAGAGTAGTCGATCAAGACTACAGTCAGTCTTGAATTCCAGAAGATTTCGGATTGAGAAAAGTAGAAGAAAGAGGGAGAAGAAAGGAGAATAAAGCAGTACACAAGGGTTTTGAAAGGAGGGACAGATTGAATGAATCTGCCGCCGCCACTCTCTCAATATTTATAGGTTATGTTCACTGAATGTAGGAAAGGGCAGAATTGCCCTTAATGCTTACATGKCAAATAAAACAAATAATAAACTGAAATAACAAGCTGTCTAAGATAATTACCAACTAACACTGACATAACTAACAAAGGTTACATGTGCTGTCATACGAACACAGTGGGGACCACAGCCGTGGGGCCCACATCAGTGTTCTCTACAAGAAGAAACCCCTGGTTTGGCTAAACTGTTGGCAGCTACATTAGCACTTCATGGGACCTATCTGAATGAACAGTTCATTTGTCTTCCCAATGAGTTGATCTCTCTAACAATGAATCTGAAGACCAATGGGACTTCCTTTCCTGTTTATTGCCATGAAGTGACAACCTGATGGTCTCCTTTATTTTATGCCTTTTTTTATCCTATATACCATCAACCACAACCCTGTTTCATCACGGTTACTTAAAGCAACAACAATACAACATGCATGTAAAGTGTTGAGATATTCAAGTGTTTCTATAGGGGTATTTTTGTTATTCATTAATCAGGTTTTTTTGGTGAGTATTCATTTATCAGGTCATTTTGTAATTACTTTATTTATTATAAAGCCTAATGAAATGACATCAGTCCCAAGTTTTCTCCTTCAAATCACTTAAGAACCACTCTAATACTAACTTCTTGATATTAGAGCACAAATACCCTTCATCACTAATTGGAATCATCACGGTCAACTGTTGACTTTAACAGCCTGTATGGTGGCCACACCATCTACAGTAGAAAGCCTCAAATCCTGGTCAAGCTTGGTTTTATAAGAATTTTGATGTAAGTTTCAAGTGGGTTTGAAACTGTTATGGTAATTTTATGGATTTTTTTTTTTATGAAAAAAATTGGAAATATAGTTCCAATGTTTTTTTTTTTTTTATTTATGAGTTCAAGTCGGGGACTTTTTATAATGATGTTTGCTTGTGCAGAGAGATTGGGCCAAATGGGCCTTAGTTTGGTGGCTGAATGGGCCTTGCTTTAGTTCAGTTATTTATTGTTTTGTTTCTGCTGTAATGCTGTAACGGGCCCTTTTTTTTTGATAAATGAGTAATGTAGAGGACACTGATGTGGGCCCCACAGCTGTGATCCCACTCTGTCCGTAGGGTAGAATGTATCTAGTCATAGCTGATGGTCAATCTGTTATTCTGTTATTCTGTTATTCTAGTTGTTATTTACTTTTCAGTTTTATATTGTTGTTGTGTTATGATGTAAACACCAAGGGCAGATGTGTCCTTTCATGTAACTAGCATAACATATAAATATTAAAGTGAAGTGGCGGCGGCAGAACATTGAGATTCTGTCCTTCCTTTCAAAGCCTGTGTTCT